GGGTCCTCCTGCCTGCCAGACCACAGAAAGGGAGCGCTGCCCACTGCAAGGCTGCCCGCTCTGGTCTTGGGCTGAGCCACAGCTGGATTCCTGCAATTCGAAATGACAGGGACAGAGGGGTAGAGATTCCCGAACCAGATGTGGGTCGGGGGAGGAGACTACACCATCTTGCTCTGATGCTGCGGGCTTGTTGTCATGGAAACAAAGCCACTCTCTTTAGGAAGGACCCATTAGGGTGCAGAAAATAATCAAGGCTCTCTCTGGCAGCCCCCCGCCCTCCCTGGTGGGAGACAATCACCGTTTGAGCCCTTGGGTGTTGCAGCGTTAAGTTCTGCCCTCCTCCCTCACTTCCCTCCCTGCAGGAAAAGTCTCTGAAACATGCGCAAGGGAGCCAACCAGGTGTCAGAGAGGACCCTCAAGGCACCCTGCCCAAACATGAGGCTTCAGTTCCAGCTCTAGCTGAGGATGTTTTACTGGGTCACCACAGCGCCTGTCTGCATCTTCGCATCCTCCCCTGGGAAAATGACAGAAATACGTAATTACCACATTGTCTCTGAATACCAAACTGTTAGAGGGATAGAAGGTAGGGATTCAACTTGCAGGCTGTGGATCAGACTGCTTGGATTGGGTGGGGTGCGGTGGCTCACGCCCATACTCCCAGCACTTTGGGAGGCTGAGGTGGGTGGATCACTTGAGGTCAGGAGTTTAAGACCAGCCTGCTCAACATGGTGAAACCCCATCTCTACTAAAAATACAGAAATTAGCCAGGCATGTGGTGGGTGCCTGTAATCCCAGCTACTTCGGAGACTGAGGCAGAGAATGGCTTGAACCCAGGAGGCAGAGGGTGCAGTGAGCCGAGATCGTACCACTGCACTCCACCCTGGGTGACAGAGTCAGACTTTGTCTTAAAAATAATAATAATTGCTACATTGTCTCTCTGAATACCAAACTGTTAAAGGGATGAAGGTAGGGATTCAGTTTGTAGACCCTAGATGAAACTGCCTGGATTGAAATCCTGGCTAAGCCACCAGCAGCTGAGCAACCTCAAGCAACTTGCCTGACCTCTCTGGGCCTCAGTTGCCTCTCCTGAAAAATGGGGTGCAATGAGACTACCAACCTCACAGGAGATCACTTATCTAAAGCCATCAGTGTCTGGATAAGGAAAATGTGGTATATCCATGCAATGGAATATAACTCCAGCCGTGAAAAGGAAGGACGCTCAAGAACCTTGAGGACATCAGGCTCAGTGAGAGAAGTTAGATGCAAAAGGCGGCACAATGTGTGATCCCATTTCTATGACATGTCGGAACAGGCCAATCCAGAGAGAAAGAAGTCAGATAAATGGTTGCCAGGGCCTGGGGCATGGGAAGAAGAATGGCTTTTTTTTTTTTTTTTTTTTTTAAATGAAGTCTCACTCTTCATTTTAACACCATATAAAAAAAAAAAAAAAAAAAAAGGCCCGGCTCAGGCCGGGGTGCAGTGGCACAATCTCAGCTCACTGCAACCTCTGCCTTCCTGATTCAAGCAATCCTCCCACCTCAGCCTCCCAAGTAGCTGAGACATGGTATGTGCCACCTTGCCCAGCTAATTTTTGTAATTTTTTTTTTTTTTTTTGAGATGGAGTTTTGCTCTTGTTACCCAGGCTGGAGTGCAATGGCGCGATCTCGGCTCACCGCAACCTCCGCCTCCTGGGTTCAGGCAATTCTCCCGCCTCAGCCTCCTGAGTAGCTGGGATTACAGGCACGAGCCACCATGCCCAGCTAATTTTTTGTATTTTTAGTAGAGACGGGGTTTCACCATGTTGACCAGGATGGTCTCGATCTCTCGACCTCGTGATCCACCCGCCTCGGCCTCCCAAAGTGCTGGGATTACAGGCTTGAGCCACAGCGCCCGGCCTAATTTTTGTAATTTTAGGAGATTGGGGGTTTTGCTACGTTGGCCAGGCTGGTCTCAAACTCCTGATCTCAGGTGATCCACCCACCTTGGCCTCCCAAAGTGCTGAGATTATAGGCCTGAGCTACCATGACCAACCTCCTCTTTCTTTTTTACAGAGGGGAGTCTTACTAGGTTGCCCACACTGGTCTCAAACTCCTGACCTCAAGCCATCGACCCATATCAGCCTCCCAAGCAGGTAGGATGGCAGGATACGAGGCATTACACCTGGCTAACCTGTGGATTCTGACACTTAACTCTAGGTGATTAAAATCATAATTTAATTGCTCTGTGGCCAGGGTAGAAGGGGATCTCTCTCACACATTTTTTTTCCTTTCCTTTTTTTTTTTTTTTTTTTTTTTTTTTTGTGAGACACAGTCTTGCTCTGTCACTCAGGCTAGAGTGCAGTGGCACAATCTTGGCTCAGTGCAACCTCCACCTCCTGGGTTCAAGCAATTCTCCTGCCTCAGCCTCCCAGAGTAGCTGGGATTACAGGCATGTGCCACCACGGCAGGCTAATTTTTAGTATTTTTAGTAGAGATGGGGTTTCACCATGTTAGCCAGGATGGTCTTGATCTCCTGATCTCATAATCTGCCTGCCTTGGCCTCCCAAAGTGCTGAGATTACAGGGGTGAGCCATTGTGCCACCTTTTCCCCTCCTCCCCGAGTTGTGGTCTCCCTCTGTCACCCAGGCTGGGGTGCAGTGGCTCAATCTTGGCTCACTGCAACCTCCACCTCCCAAGCTCAGGTGATCCTCTCACCTCAGCCTCCTGAGAAGCTGGGACTACAGGCTTGTGACACCATGTTTGGCAATGTTTTTTCTTTGTTCGTTCTGTATTTTTGGTAGAGATGGGGTTTCAGCATGTTGGCCAGGCTGGTCCCAAACTCCTGAGCTCAAGCAATCCACCCGCCTCGGCCTCCCAAAGTGCTGGGATTACAGGCTTGAGCCACCACACGCAGCCTCTCTCACGTATTTTTAAAGAGGGTCTTGCTCTGTTGCCCAGGCTGGAGTCTAGCGGGGCAATCATAGCTCACTGCAGCCTCCGATTCCTGTGCTCAAGCAGTTCTCCCAAGTAACTGTGACCCCAGTATGCACCGCTGCACCCAGCTGTCACTCTTTTCCAGCAAGACAACAGCACGAAATGAAGCACAACGTGTTCTGTCAAATTAACCAGCGATAACGGGAAAGCTCAGGAGGGCGGGCACGGACCGTGCACCTTGTTCAGTTTCTAAAGCCACTGAGGAGGCAGCTGCAAGCTGGGTCCTTGGGGGTGGCTAGGAGAGGGTGGTAAATTGGTTGGACCTCTGTGGGTGATGGCTCATCTTGACAGGAGTGTGTGGTGTGGCTTCCAGGATTTTGTGTCTGATGAAGGCGGTAGACTCAGTCACAAGCATTTATACCCAAAGTAAATATTGGATGCCAGCACTGAGCCGGGGGTGTGCATGGGGAGGAGGGGGTTACAAAGATGAAACTGCCGGGGAAAAAACTCAGGACTCCCAGGAGTCTTTGAAGAGGGGGAGTAAAAGGTTAGTGTGGCTTTAATGAGACTCATAAGGGCCGGGCGCGGTGGCTCATGCCTGTAATCCCAGCACTTTGGGAAGCCGAGGTGGGCAGATCACTTGAGGTCAGGAGTTCAAGATGAACTTCACCAACTTGGTGAGACCTTCCCCATCTCTACTAAAAATACAAAAACTAGCTGGGTATGGTGGCGCATGCCTGTAATTCCAAGTAACTGTGATTACAGTAGGCACCGCTGCACCCAGCTGTCATTTATTTTTCGAACAAGACAGAGGTACAAAAGGAAGTATGATATACTTCATTTCAAGGATAATCACTCGAAACCAGGAGGTGGAGGTTGCAGTGAACGGAGATTGCACCAATGCGCTCTAGCCTAGGCAACCGAGAGAGACTGAAAACAATTAGGCCAGGTGTGGTGGCTCACGCCTGTCATCCCAGCACCTTGGGAGGCAAAGGCCGGTGGATCGCTTGAGGTGAGGAGTTCGAGACCAGCCTGGCCAACATGGTGAAGCTTCGTCTCTACTAAAAGTGAAAAAATTAGCCGGGTGTGGTGGCACACACCTGTAGTCCCGTGCAAGTGATCCACCCGCCTTGGCCTCCCAAAGTGCTGGGATTGCAGGCTTGAGCCTCTGTGCCCAGCCAAATGTTTGAATGTTACTCTGCAGTCAGTGGGGCTCTTGGAAGGGTTACAGGTGGGAGTGGGACCTGGTCAGATGCGTGTTCTGGAAAGACCCTTTGCTGTGTGTAGAAAATGAACTGGCTGCACATGTGCGTGGGCTGCGGGGGGAGACAGAAGATGAGGCAGGGAGGCAGAGGTCATGGATGCAGGGGGCTGGGGGACAGAGAGCGGATGGGTTTGAGCACGGTGACTTGCCCTGGGGACCATGGGGACTGGATGAGGAGAGGTGGCTCCTGGACATGTAGGGGAACTATCACATTCGTGGGCACATGGGGGAGGAAGCTGGGGGCTGGGCAGTGTGTTCACTTTGAAATGATTAATTTGGGGTGATTGGGAGACACCCACAGTAGAATATCCTCCTTCACTGAGGCCCCCAAAAGGCAGTATCTGTGTGTCTTTTCCTTTCTGAAAGCCCTTCCATTCCCAGGGGACAACTCTAAATATACCAGAAAACCTCCCACAATTAGACCTCACCCAGACATTGAACCTCCCTCTGCTCAGCCCATTCATAAAGTGCCTCTGGCATTTAGGTGTCTTCTAATCTCATTTTCTCTGCTCGTTAATGGACCCACTGAGGCAGTCCTCCTGAGAGAGAGAGAGAGAAAGATTTCATTTGTCTGAGGAGGGAGACGGGGTTGCCAAAGCTAATGAGGAATCAATGCCTTGTAATTGCTAATTAAATGAGCCTGGCTCTCTCCTGGGGCTATAAGTTGGCTGGCCGACCCTTAAGTGTCCACAAATTCAATTATGCTTCCCCAATAAACACCTGCAGTAACCGTTGCCCTCCGGTATCTCTCTGGGGGAGACCTAGAAGAAGGATCTTCCTGTGTGTGCCAAGGCCATACAGTCATTTATTGATTGATATATTGGTTTATTCTTTGGTGGCTTTATTGATTATGATATGGTATATGGTATGCCTGCGGTGTGCTGGGCCCTGGACCAGGCACTGGGGATGCAGCCGTGAAAATACAAACATTGTTTCTGCCCTCATGGAGCTCACAGGGTAACAGGGAGACAAATAGACATATCACTAGATAACTTGAAAATAATTGGACTATGTGCTGGAGACACAATATCCCAGGTCTCTGAGAATGTCAGTACAGACTTCACATGGGAAATGATGAGGCAATCAGGATTGTTTCCCTTGATGAAATGGAGCTTGCAGAAGAAGGCAGGCTCAGTTGCAGGGGTCTCTGGGTGGAGGTGGGGGGAGTGCATTCCAAGCCGCGGGAACAACAAAGCCAAAAACCGTGAGGCTGGAGAACAGGTACCATGTGGAGTTTGTGACTTGATTATGTGTTGCAGAAAATTGGAAGTGAGTCTTTCTTAAATGTATTTATTTATTTATTTATTTTTTTGAGACGGAGTTTCGCTCTTGTTACCCAGGCTGGAGTGCAATGGCGCGACCTCGGCTCACCGCAACCTCTGCCTCCTGGGTTCAGGCAATTCTCCTGCCTCAGCCTCCTGAGTAGCTGGGATTACAGGCACGCGCCACCATGCCCAGCTAATGTTTTGCATTTTTAGTAGAGACGGGGTTTCACCATGTTGACCAGGATGGTCTCGATCTCTTGACCTCGTGATCCACCCGCCTCGGCCTCCCAAAGTGCTGGGATTACAGGCTTGAGCCACCGCGCCTGGCCAAATGTATTTATTTATTTATTTTATTTTTATTTTTATTTTTTTTTTGGAGACGGAGTTTCGCTCTTGTTACCCAGGCTGGAGTGCAATGGCGCGATCTTGGCTCACCACAACCTCCGCCTCCTGGGTTCAAGCAATTCTCCTGCCTCAGCCTCCTGAGTAGCTGGGATTACAGGCACGTGCCACCATGCCCAGCTAATTTGTATCTTTAGTAGAGACGGGATTTCACCATGTTGACCAGGATGGTCTTGATCTCTCGACCTTGTGATCCACCCGCCTCAGCCTCCCAAAGTGCTGGGATTACAGGCTTGAGCCACCGTGCCCGGCCCCAAATGTATTTATTCTTTATTGACATGAGGTCTCTCTGTGTTGCCCAGGCTGGTCTTGAACTCCTGAGTTCAAGCTACCCTCCAACCTTGACCTCCCAAAGTGCTGGGATTACAAGTGTGAGCCATCACAGCTGGCCAACAGGGTGAGCCTTCATGATGCCGTAAGTCACAAATTCACACTTGTCCTGTCATTGGCCCATGGCAGTGATGGGTAGCAGACAGGAAAAGAATGTTTTCTGAAACTTTTTTTTTTTTTTTTTTTTAAACAGGGTCTTGTTCTGCTGCCCAATCTGGAGTGCAGCAGTGCAGTCACGGCTCACTGCAGCCTTGAACTCCCAGGCTCAAGTGTTCCTCCCACCTCCCAAGTTAGTTGGGATGACAGGCATGTGTCACCTCACCCAGCTAATTTTAAAAAGCATTTTCTTTTCTTGTAGAGATGAGGGCTCACTATATTGCCCAGGCTGTTCTCGAACTCCTGTGCTCAAGCAATCCTCCCATCTCATCCTCCCAAAATATTAGGATTACAGGTGTTAGCACCTAGCTCACTTCTGGAACGTTTACTGAAAAGTACCCTTAGGCTGGGTGCAGTGGCTCACACCTGTAATCCTAGGACTTTCAAAGGCTGAGGCAGGAGGTCACGTCTCTAAAAAATAATAATAAAATAAATTTTTTGAGACACAATCTCACTATGCCACCCCGGCTGGAGTGCAGTGGTGCAATCCTGGCTCGTGCAGCCTCTGCCTCCTGGGTCCAAGGGATTCTTATGCCTCAGCCTCCTGAGTAGCTGGGACTACGGGCATGTGCCACAACGCCCAGCTAATTTTCCTATTTTTAGGAGAAATGGAGTTTCACCATGTTGTCCAGGCTGGTTTGGAACCCCTGGCCTCAGGTGATCCACCTGCCTCCGCCTCCCAAAGTGCTGGGATTACAGACATGAGCCATCACACTCGGGGAAGAAAAAAAAAAAAAAGTTTTTTAATAAAGAAGTACCTTGAGAACCTTGGTCTAGGGAGGGTTTTAATGCCATTCCCTCACTAATTCCCCCAGGAAAGCACCGTGAGGTGGTTCGAGGTTTTGGGTTTAGAGTCAGATATTTTCTATCTCCAGGCTTGTGGGGGTGTACAAGTGATGTATGATCAACAACATACATGGTGCATGGCTGTATGAGCACAGGATGTATGTCTTTGTTTGCTTCCCTCCCCTGCCCCAGTCTATCCCCTGAAGTGAGCCAGCCCACCCTCTGAGTGGAAGCGACCCCCCCGCCCCAGCCTCCCTGGTTCTCCCCCAATGGCCAGCTCATTTTAGGCGAAGGTCGATGGGAGAAGTCTGCGCTATGAGGCCGGCTGTGACTTGTTGTCATAGTACATCAGAACAACAAAATCACTAGTCTTCCACACAGCACTAGACCATAGCCACTCTAATCTTCTTCGCCACCTTCTGTCCTATATCTGAGACCCCTGCCCGGCTCTTCTTCCTCACCTGAGCCAAGCTGTGACACGTGGGCTTCCTGCCTCTGTGCTGCCTCCCTGTTTTCCATTCCCGGTTCTCCTGGAGAGAGGCAGGGTCTGATCTCCAAGGGCCCACCTCCCACCCAGGCACAAGAGAAACATGGGATTTGGAGTTGGACTGATGGCACTGACTTACAGCTTCACTTTGGGCTGAGACCCCCTGGGTTGGTTATTTTTCCACCTCCCTCTGGGCCTTGGCTTCCCCAAATGTCATGTGGGCATAGTAACACCCATATCCTAGGGTTGAAGATGGCATGATATGATATATGTAAAACGCTTGGTACAAGGTTTCTCCTGGAAGTCTGGAAGGGACACCACAATGTCATCTTGGCAGGCACCCATTCCCCCAGCAGGGCATTTTACCTGTTGAAAATTGCAGACTTGGGCCAGGCGGGGTGGTTCACGCCTGTAATCCCAGCACTTTGGGAGGCCGAGGTGAGCGAATCACGAGGTCAAGAGTTCGAGATCAGCCCGGTCAACATGGTGAAACCCATCTCTACTAAACATACAAAAAATAGCTGGGTGTGATGGTGTGTGCCTGTTATCCTAGCTACTCGAGAGGTTGAGGCAGGGGAATCGCCTGAATCCGGGAGGCAGAGGTTGCAGTGAGCCGAGATCGTGCCACTGCATTCCAGCCTGGGTGACAGAGCAAGACTCTTGTCTCAAAAAAAAAAAAAGAAAAAAAGAGAAAATTACAGACTTCTATGTGGACTTCTCTGGAAAATACTTTGTTTAAAAATACATTACATGAGGGGCGAGTCTCAAGTGCCAGAAATGCCAGGCACCTCATACCACCCTCTCTCATCCTCCTCCCCCAAAATCAGGGTCCAAGGGCTCTCCGGTTACCTGGAGGAGCTGTCCAGGGTCCTGGCGCCTAAACGGAGCCCACTGGGAGCTGTCCTGAGCCCCGGTGCTGAAACAGGTAGTTGTTCTCTTCTCAGTGCCCCCCCCCCCCACCGAGAGGCACTGTCCCGAGACTTGGTGCTGAAATAAATAGCATTCTCCTCCCTCGGTCGGTGGAGAGCTGTCCCTGGTGCTGAAGAAAACTTGATTTTCCTCTCTGTTTCCCGGTTCCCCCACCCCTCTTCGTTCTCGGTTCCTTGGATCCTTGGGAAACCCCACCCCCACTCAATTTATTTCCCCTCCTGGCTTCTTCCTGGGGAGTTTCAGAATGGCAAGGGGGAGACACAGAGGGGTCGCAATTAGCCCTTATGCCTGCTCCTCACCCTGTAACACGTCCCCAGAACTTACCTCCCAAGCAGTCAGCCCCGCTGGTCTCTGCTTTCCAGACCGTCCAACTTCGCCATCTCTGCCCCTTTCTGCGAAAACATCTATGCGCCGACCTGCAAACCAGCCTCCTTCCCAGGATCCCACGTCCCTCAGACCACCCCTCCTCCCACGCAGCTGTGGGCCTCTCCCTCTGTGTGCCTCACCTGCTTCCAGTCTTCTTGGCAGATGCAGGTGTCCGGTGGCTACCAAGGCAGGGACCTGCGCTTTTATGGGCTTCGGGGAAGGCGGAGTGCCAGGAATCCTAGGAGGGGCTTCTCCAACTGGCCAATGGGATTCCACCTCAGGACGAAGCTCCAAAGATTACCTCATAGGTTGTGGCCTACGCTTCAGAATAAAAGTCTGGCATCTGCCCAAAAACTGGGCTAGGGGATATTTTTGGATGGGGACGGAGCACTCATTGTGGACCATGGAGTCTCCCCACTAGCCCCAATCCCCTCCTGGGTTCCTGAGCTCCAAGTTGGTTCAGGTGTCCTGACTGGTACCTGTTTCTTCTCATTCCCAGTTTTTGCTATTGCTGCTGGTTCAGGAAAGAAAAAGCTGGTTGGGCCGGGCGCAGTGGCTTAAGCCTGTAATCCCAGCACTTTGGGAGGCTGAGGCGGGTGGTTCGTCTGAGGTCAGGAGTTCGAGACCAGTTTGACCAATGTGGTGAAACCCCGTCTCTAAAAAAAAAAAAAAAAAAAAAAAGAGAGAGAAAAGAAAGAAAGAGAAAGAAAGAAAGAAGAGAAAAAGCTGGTAAACTGTTCTGGGGCAACATAAGGGATGTAGAGAATTTTTTTTTTTTTTTTTTTTTTTTTGAGACAGTTTCACTCTTGTTACCCAGGCTGGAGTGCAATGGCACGATCTCGGCTCACCGCAACCTCCGCCTCCTGGGTTTAGGCAATTCTGCCTCAGCCTCCTGAGTAGCTGGATTGTAGGCACGCGCCACCATGCCCAGCTAATTTTTTGTATTTTTAGTAGAGACGGGGTTTCACCATGTTGACCAGGATGGTCTCGATCTCTTGACCTCATGATCCACCCGCCTCGGCCTCCCAAAGTGCTGGGATTACAGGCTTGAGCCACCGCGCCCGGCCCGGGATGTAGAGAATATTAAAGTCCAGTTTCACCTAGGGCAACTGATGTCGGTGAAAATGGAGGGCTCACAAGACTCTGGGGCAGAAGTGGGACAGAAGGTGAAGATTTTGATTCCTTAACTCAAAACCCAAATTATACAATTCTGCTTTTTGTAGTGCTATACTGGGCATGCTCTGAACCAAAAAACAAAGAAACTAGGGTTCAAATTCAGATTTTTTTTCTCCTTCCTTTGGGGCATTGGGCACAGTTGTGCCTCAGTTTCCTCAACTGTGAAGTGTTGATAATAGTAGAGGATTTGATGAGGAATTAATGATATAGACATGTTGGAAATAATCAGAGCAGGGGCTAGTTTTGCACTTGCCTCAGGTGCAAAATTTAAAGGGACACCAAAAAAAACCTCAAGAATCAAGATAAATAATATCTCAGGCCAGGTGCAATGGCTCATGCCTGTAATCCCAGCACTTTGGGAGGCCAAGGTGGGAGGATCACTTGTGGCCAGGAGTTCAAGACCAACCTGGGCAACATAGTGAGTGAGGCCCCGTTTTTGAGAGAGAGAGAGAGGAGAGGGAGAGAGAGAGAGCCACTTGTGGTTCCAGCTACTTGGGAGGCTGAGGTGAGAGGATCACTTGAGCCCAGGAGATCAAGGCTGCAGTGAGCTGTGACTGCACCACTGCACTCCAGCCTGAGTGACAGAGCAAGACCCTGTCTCAAAAAAAAAATAATAATCCATGCAATGTTTTAAGAAATCTAAATGTGGCCGGGCATGGTGGCTCAAGCCTGTAATCCCAGCACTTTGGGAGGCCGAGGCGGGCAGATCACAAGGTCAAAAGATCGAGACCAGCCTGGCCAACATGGTGAAACCCCGTCTCTACTAAAAATACAAAAATTAGCTGGGCATGGTGGCGTGTGCCTGTAGTCTCAACTACTCGGGAGGCTGAGGCAGGAGAATTGCTTGAACCCGGGAGGCAGAGGTTGCAGTGAGCCGAGATTGTGCCACTGCTTGGTGCCTGGGGACAGAGTGACACTCTGTCTCAAAAAAAAAAAAAAAAAAAAAAAAAAAAAAAAAAAGAAATCTAAATGTATGCCCAAATCCACAATGAACAAATATCAAAAATTTAAAATAAGGACAGAACCAGCCTTTCTGACTTTTCCTTTTACCTGAAATCCCAATATGGCTGAGCATGGCACTAGCAATCACGTCTGCATACGGCGGGTTTTCTAATAATGCAGCAGTTGTTCTTCCCTGAGCTATTCCACCCATTTATTTGCTCAGCAAACTTTTGTTTTGCCAGGCACTGGAGATAGATGAATTCAGCAACCAGCCTTGCCTTTAGGGAGGGTAAAGACATGAAAATTCTACTCACATGTGGGTATGGGTATTAGGCAGAAGGAACAGGTAGTATAAGGGCCCTGGTGGGTGAGCAAGGGTAGAGGGGACAGGTGGGATATACATCAGGGACATCTGGACAGGACCTGCTCATTCAGGCCAGGACCAAAGTGAAGTTCCTCAGGTTGCACAGGAAAACCTGCCACCCTTTCTCTCTGCCCCTCCCTAAGCATTTACTCTGTGCCAGGTTCAGCATCAAACATTCTACCTGCTGAGTGTTCTGAAGGCCTCAGGATAGTCCCATAAGATAGATTCCAGCCAGGCACAGTGGCTCACTGAGGCTGGACTACAGTGGTGTGATCTCGACTCACTGCCACCTCCGCCTCTTGGGTTCAAGTGATTCTCCTGCCTCAGCCTCCTGAGTAGCTGGGACTACAGGTGTGCGCCACCACGCCCGGCTACTTTGTGCATTTTTAGTACAGACAGGGTTTCTCCATGTTGGCCAGGCTGGTCTCCAGCTCCTGACCTCTTGATCTGCCTGCCTCGGCCTCCCAAAGTGCTGGGATTACAGGCATGAGCCACCATGCCCAGCCCTCCTTTTTATTATCAAGTAGTATTCCATCACGTGGATGAGCTATGGCCAGTTTTCTCATTCATCAGTCCAAGGACATTAGGTTCTGGAACATCTTCTGTGTTTGGAGATTATTAGGAAAAAAGCTGCTATAGGCTGGGCATGGTGGCTCAAGCCTGTAGTCCCAGCACTTTGGGAGGCCGAGGCGGGTGGATCACGAGGTCAAGAGATCGAGACCATCCTGGTCAACATGATGAAACCCCGTCTCTACTAAAAATAAAAAAAATTAGCTGGGCATGGTGGCGCGTGCCTGTAATCCCAGCTACTTAGGAGGCTGAGGCAGGAGAATTGCCTGAACCCCGGAGGCGGAGGTTGCGGTGAGCCGAGATGGCGCCATTGCACTCCAGCCTGGGTAACAAGGTAACAAGAGCGAAAACTCCGCCTCAAAAAAAAAAAAGAAAAAGAAAGAAAAAGAAAAAAAGAAAAGAAAAGAAAAAGCTGCTATAAATATTTACATGGGCTGGGGGTGGTGGCTCATGCCTGTAATCCCAGCACTTTAGGAGGCCGAGGCAGGTGGATCATGAGGTTAGGAGTTCAAGACCACCCTCGCCAGTATAGTGAAACCCTGTCTCAACTAAAAATACAAAAATTAGCTTCAGAGACTGAAGCAGAAGAATTGCTTGAACCAAGGAGAAGGAGTTTGCAGTGAGCAGAGAAGGCGCCACTGCATTGCAGCCTGGGCAATAAGCGAGACTCTTATCTCAATAAATAAATAAATAGATAAAATATTTACATGCAGGCTTTCATGTGGGCAATAAATTTTCACATCTCTATGGTAAATACCTAGGAGTGCGATGGCTGGGTCATATGCGAAGTGTATATTTAACTTTATAAGAGACTGTCAAACTTTTCCCAAAGCAATTGTATCATTTTGCATTCCCACAAGCAGTGGATAAGGGTTCTAGTTGCTTCATGCCCTTATCAGCTAGCTGTTGGTATTGTTTGGTTTTATTTTTAACTACCTAATAAGTGCGTAGCATCTTTTACCCCTCTTTCTCTCAATATATAGATATAGATAATTTTGTCTTTTTTTGAGATGGAGTCTCACTCTGTCTCCAGGCTGGAGTGCACTGCTACCTCTGCCTCCTGGGCTCCAGCGATTCTCCTGCCTCAGCCTCCTGTGTAGCTGGAATTACAGACGTGCATCACCATGTCCAGCTAATCTTTGTATTTTTGGTAGAGACGCGGTTTCACCATCTTGGCCAAGATAGTCTGGAATTGTTGACCCCGTGATCCACCTGCCTCAGCCTTCCCAAAGTTCAGGGATTGCAGACGTGAGCCATTGAGCCCAGCCTCTTTTTTTGTTCATTTTTGAGGCAGGGTCTCACTGTCACATAGGCTGGAATGCAGTGGCATGATCATGGTTTGCTGTAGCCTCAACCTCCTGGGTTCAAGTGATCCTCCCACCTCAGCCTCTGAAGTGCTGGGATTACAGACGTGAGTCACCACACTCAGCCATCTTTTGCTTCTTTTTATTTATTTTAAAATTAATTTTATTTATTTATTTATTTTTGAGACAGTTTCACTCTGTCACCCAGGCTGGAGTGTAGTGGCTTGATCCTTGGCTCACTGCAACCTGCACCTCCCAGGTTCAAGAGAATCTCCTGCCTCAGCCTCCCAAGTAGCTGGGATGACAGGCATACGCCACCATGCCTGGCTAATTTTTTTTTTTTTTTTTTTTTTTTTTTGAGACAGAGTTTCGCTCGTTACCCAGGCTAGAGTGCAATGGCGTTATCTTGGCTCACCACAACCTCTGCCTCCTGGGTTCAGGCAATTCTCCTGCCTCTGCCTCCTGAGTAGCTGGGATTACAGGCACGCGCCACCATGCCCAGCTAATTTTTTGTATTTTTAGTAGAGACGGGGTTTCACCATGTTGACCAGGATGGTCTCGATCTCTCGACCTCGTGATCCACCCGCCTCGGCCTCCCAAAGTGCTGGGATTACAGGCTTGAGCCACCGCGCCCGGCAATTTTTGTATTTTTAGTAGAGTAGAGATGGAG